GAATACACCAGACCTCGTGTAGCTCCAAAAACCGATACAGCCCCGAGAAGAAAGCATACTTTCACTAATGACTCTTCTCTAAGTTACACAGTGGCGCTAATGAGTTCCTCCTACAGATGATCCCCCTTCAGAGAGAGAGAGAAGGAGGCTCAGACTAAACTGTGAGTGTGAGCACACACCTCTGAGTGTGTGTGTGTGTGTGTGTGTGTGGAGGTGGATGAGAGTAAATGGCTTTCTCAAGTGCAGGGGATTGGATCAGAAGGGAGGCTAATGTGTTTTATGAACAAAATGACTCCTATAGATCAGCTGAAGGGACCGGCTGTTGTTGTTAGTCTTGGTGTCAACCTTTCTCCTTCCTCACGGGGGCAACATCAGGAGACAAACGTCAGCAACTCGCCACAGTCCGACAGACACGCGAGGCCGAAGAGCTAGGGCGAGCTATCTTCTGGTTGCACGTAGCAGATCGTGGGATCAACTTGGTGCAAATTAGTGATTATTTGACCCTCTGCTGTGGATGCAGGTCTCTGACGGCTTCGCGGCTGAAAGGTGTTGAAGTCAAGGTGTTCGTTCCTCAGTGAAACATAGGGTGTAGTAACACGTTACGGCCACATCACTGAGTTTGTAGGTGTTCTATGTTGACGTATAGGACGTAAGGCCTTTTGTGGTGGACGTAGTGATGATGGAACATAATGGGCCTGGATGTTAGAGGGTCAGAGGACCGCAGGTTTGAATCCTGAAGCTGACCTCCAGGGTGTGGGGCAGTGAGACTGACCACTGCTCTCCAGAGATGGTGACGTTTCTGACGTACGTACATGTGTCTGTGTGGTTGATAAAGCTGGTTCTTCTAACGACCCACTAATCGATCACGGTTCTGTAGAGAACGGAAAGATCAAGACCAGAGTTCTGTTGATTTACCTTTAAAAAAAGAAAAGAAAAAGAAATCACTAAAGTTCACCAGATGGCCGCGTCCATGTGGTCAGACATGAAACTGATATTATTGATCAATTATATCCAGATACGTCATTTGAAATGGGAGACTGAGAGGCATTTCTCAAATTAATGGGCTATTGGTATTTTTTATGATATGATATGGCCTGTGTATTCCTCTGTGGGCTCGGTGCCCAGGGCTCATCACTCAGGAGGATGATGATCTGTGACAGCAATTATGTTAAAAAGGTGGACACATGTAAAGGTGCTGCAAACTGAAATCAATACACGAGGGGCTTTCATTACAAACAGACAACTAATCAATGGCCAGGGAGCTTGGAGCTCACAAGAGTAAGTTTTACTCAACTTCCTGTGAGTCTGGACAGCCAGTGGTCTGATGCATTATTCAAAACTGAATGCTAAGTAAGGGCAAGGTTAAATAATTGATCATATTCTGGGATGCATACAAACGGAGATTAAGCAGGGTGAGACTTTTTTTTCTTCTTTTTCTAAAACTGTACTCCTCTCTGTTCCAGAGCACAGTCTGGAACTGGAGGTGGAGCAAAGATGTGGAACAACCTATGAGGGATTTACATTAACACTCAACCGTTAAGGACTGAGTCGTCGTGTGCTCCGAATTCAAATCCTACACCGTGTGGACAGCTACACGATTCTCTGATGCGTTTCGATCTGTTGTGAAGAGGGGGAAAAGGTGCAGGAGTTTTAGCAAAACGGGATTCGTGCGCGGTGACGCACGACTCACGTCAGCCTGTCTCTGTGTTACTGTTACTTTTTCTTGCAGCTTTCGTAAACTTCGCAAAAGTCTGCAAACTACAAAAACAAAAAATAAATAAAGATGTCTGATTTGAATTCAGACTGAAGAATATTTCAGATAATATAACTGAGATCTCTTCACTCCCCTCCTCTGGTTCTCTTTTGTCCTGGAGAAAAACCCCAACTTACCCGCCCGTTGTTGTTGTTTGCTCCTCTTCACTCTCATCCACTCAAAAGTTTGTTCTCTTTTCATCCGTATCGACGCCGATCCAGTCCGAAATGTCGGAGTTGTGACAAAGTAGTTGCATCGGTTCGTTTTGTCCCAGCTCGGTGGAGGTGGACGCGCAAGATCCGCGTCCTGGAGAGTCCTGCCCCTACGCCCTGCACCGCCAGGGGACACGGGACGAGTGGGGGCAGGCCGGCGTGGAGAAGCCCCCGAGAGTCTCAAAGTGTGGAGAGGGAGGAGGAGGAGGAGAGGAAAGAGGAGGGAGGCTAACCGAGGAGGTGCTCAGAGTTAAACAGTTGGAGAGAGTTAAACATTGAAGATGTTGGAGCCAGTGGCCCCCACAGCAGCGCCCCCCTCCTCAGCACGGCTGCAGGGTTCAGGAGGAGTCCTCGAGCCCAGGTCCAGGTTTATGACCTCTTTTGCTCGGCAGCAGTCCGTGAAGAGATGGCCACTCTCTCCTTCGGCCGTTAACTCTTGATAGGAAGTCATTATCACCTCTCCCTGCATACTCATTGGACGCGGTCGCACTTCACGCCCGGCCTCTCATGCATTCAGCAAGGCATGGCCGGGCTGCTGGACGACCGTGGGGACATTCCTCTGAGGAGAAAGAGCGGTCCCTGATTGATGGAGATGACGTGCCCCCCTGGTGTCGGCCAATAGCTGGACATCTCTGTCATCAGGGAGCAGAGAGCGCTGATTAAGTCGAGCGAGCAAATGCTGCGACTCATGGCTTATAGGTCAACATTTAGAAGAGAGCAGCACAACCGACCAGACAGGAGGCTGCAGAGAACCAACCAACCAACCAACCAACCAACCAACCAACCAACCAACCAACCAACCAACCAACCAACCAAGTTCAACCAACATCACCATCTGCAGCAGTTCTGTTGTTTAAAACCAACAATAATAAGATGCTGTTGGTCCCTAAACCTCAGAAAAGAACATTTTTCAACTCAACAAAAGTTTTTTTTTTTTTTACCCCCACTGCTTAAACGCCCCCGAGAGCCGCAAGGTGGGGAGGGGGAGGAGGGGGAGGAGAGGAAAGAGGAGGGAGGCTAACCGAGGAGGTGCCCAGAGTTAAACAGTTGGAGAGAGTTAAACATTGAAGATGTTGGAGCCAGTGGCCCCCACAGCAGCGCCCCCCTCCTCAGCACGGCTGCAGGGTTCAGGAGGAGTCCTCGAGCCCAGGTCCAGGTTTATGACCTCTTTTGCTCGGCAGCAGTCCGTGAAGAGATGGCCACTCTCTCCTTCGGCCGTTAACTCTTGATAGGAAGTCATTATCACCTCTCCCTGCATACTCATTGGACGCGGTCGCACTTCACGCCCGGCCTCTCATGCATTCAGCAAGGCATGGCCGGGCTGCTGGACGACCGTGGGGACATTCCTCTGAGGAGAAAGAGCGGTCCCTGATTGATGGAGATGACGTGCCCCCCTGGTGTCGGCCAATAGCTGGACATCTCTGTCATCAGGGAGCAGAGAGCGCTGATTAAGTCGAGCGAGCAAATGCTGCGACTCATGGCTTATAGGTCAACATTTAGAAGAGAGCAGCACAACCGACCAGACAGGAGGCTGCAGAGAACCAACCAACCAACCAACCAACCAACCAACCAAGTTCAACCAACATCACCATCTGCAGCAGTTCTGTTGTTTAAAACCAACAATAATAAGATGCTGTTGGTCCCTAAACCTCAGAAAAGAACATTTTTCAACTCAACAAAAGTTTTTTTTTTTTTACCCCCACTGCTTTAGGAACACAATACAGGCCAACACTGATGCAGCTAATGGATTATGCAAATCCGAGGAGGCTTCTTGAAAAAGCCGAGGCCCTCTTTAGCAGAGGGCAGAGGTCATGTGAAAGGCACACTTAATGGGTTCAGAGGTCGTGACAGCCAGTATTTAGAAGTTCAGTGGCAGCAGATTTGTAATTAGCCTCGAACAAATACAAAAAATGGCTGCGAGCAAAGATCAAGAAGTTGTATGTGGCCGAGACGACATGGGCTTCCCCTGGACGAGGCAGCCGCCCTGCTGGATGCTGCACGTCCAGGACTCCAAGGACTGGTCTGTGTTTGAATTAGAAATTAATCCAAAATCCCCAACATTTAATAGAAGTGACAAAAAACAGACAAACACATTCACATGAATCGAACTAAGCCCTGGGCAAACAATTCACTTGACTGATCACACCAGCGTTAAACAACAACAAATATGGCAGTGTTGTTTACCTCAGTGCAGTGAACCTATCATGGGATGTATAAAATGATATTGAGATAATAAAATGATGTCGTAACATACATTTCTTTTCTCTCTTCCATCTATGAGCTAAGATGTGTTGTTTTACACACCGCGAAATATTAGTCTTAAAAACTTTGAGTTGGACTGTGGTTGGTTGAAACCCTGTTAAAGCCAATAGTCACTTTATAATAAAAATAACATTTATGTTACTTTACTCATCTTGGTTAATAATAGTTATAATAATGACTCGTGTATTTTATTTAGAGCAAAAAAAAAATCATTCTTATCTTTGGAGGTCGGCCATGTTGGATCATTATGTTTTTACATTAGTAAAACACAGTGGACGAGCTGAACAATGGAGTTGTAATGATGAATGAGGGCCACCATATGTTTTCATTTATTATTGGACCAGAATGATGAAACCATGACATGGAACGCCCCCATTGGATGAGACTTAACCTACAACAATGTAAATTATATTTTTAAAAATATTTTCCTACAATGATGGTTTAAATTATAGTTGTTTAGTCATATAGGGAGACTCAAAGAGTGGGTCCTGACCCTTAGGAGAATCAGGGTTTTTCTTTTTAAGAAATTAAAAATATAAACAAAAAGCCTCTATTTGAAAACTAAAGAAATCATCACAGAATTATTATTTTAGTATCATTATGTTCATAATCTCCTTCAGCTTTATCCAATAACTAAAACAAACTTTCACTCATGCAAATACATTTAAGAATATTAGTAGTAAATGTATTTGTTATTATAAGTTACTATACAAAAACTGCTGCATTACTTCAGTATTATATGTACATTATATTTCCAAATATATTTGGTCTCAATAGTTTTTTATTTCTTTCAAAAAGACAAAAAACTAATTACTAAATAAATGTAATTTTACGATAATAAATAACTATCACCTTTAGTCAAATCGGGTTCTTCTACATCTTGTTGGTTTTACATAGTGTCTGATGTTTTACATCAACTCCAACATGGCTCACGTGCACACACACACACACGAACACTGAGTCTGACCTTCAATGACCGTAACGCTGGTCTGCAAGAACCGACATCAGCTGATTCACACGTCATCCCATGTGACGGTGCATTCACACGACACAGTTTTTATTCATTATTATTTCGGTTTTAAAATACCTTTGAAATGGTTTCTAATTATGGGGCTTAAGTAATTAATCCGGGACAAATGTAATCCCTGAGGTTGGATTAACGGAATTATAACAGATATTTTAGTGGTGGGTATAACACACTCCACAAAAATATTTATATTTTTTAAATGTTATTTTTCAGCATTTCATACATGTATTTTTCTACAATAATATATAACAATATAATTTATTTTTAATATATCAGCACACATGGCGTTGCGTTATTGTTATTAACACCATTATTATCGTTATTACGGTAATTATTATTGTCTTTATCAGGTAGGAACCCTGCGCATTTTCTTATTAAACACATCCTTCCAACGCGTTACTGCGCTTATCTTTTTTCCTATTTTCTTTTTTTTAAACATTGTCGTCTGCTGCGTCTTTTAAGTCTGCAGTAATTACAATATAATTCAGCGTAATGAACAACTTCTAACTGCATTCTTACAACACAGAAATATGGTCCCAGCTGTGGGAGTTAATGGGATTCTACAGGCAGCGATGTGCTGAATGACTGAGTGCAATATATCCCTTCTCTCCATGCATTTGCATGGCGCACTGATCCATCTTCATGTCAGCTCGGAGGTTACTCAGGGTTCACACGCTGCCTTGTTTCTCTCCTCCACACTCAATAAATAAATCTCTGCAGCTTTCTGTTTACCGCCTGAATATAAATTTGTTTGCAGTCGATCGAAGACCTGTGCGGAGGTATTAGAAATTGTATTTCTGTAATGGCTTTCAGCAGAGACTGGAGGGGGAGGGAGGGAGGGGGAGGGAGGAAGAAGAGGAGAAGAAGGAAAAAAACAGGTGTGAGGCATCTTTGTGCTTTCTCGTATGCAAACGAATTTAGAAGAAAAAAAAGCCTCAGTTCACCGCAGCTCTGGACGAATCCACATTACATTTACCAACAACTCACCTTTTGTTTTTTTTTTTGTTAATCTTGTAGGACGGCCCCTGTTTGTTCCCGGAAGTGCCATATGTTTGATTAGCACATCTGAGGTGTTGTTCCACATCACTGCTCCACACCTGTATGCAACAGAAGTTATATGGTCACATTCAACACCAAAACACAAAATAAAAGTGTTGTTTAGCTAAATGTCCTTCCACTTGGCAGCTGGCGTCCCCGAAAACTATACATTTGTGTTTAAGGAAAATAGAAATAGCTTACATTTAAATTTAGGTAAAAGAGAAAACCACAAAAAAGTCAATCTTCTTCATCTGGCACAGCTTCATGGCGGCCTTGGCTCTACTGCAAAAAAAAAAAAAGTTCTACCTAATCATCCTCTAAATTAGAGTTAGGGAATTGAGTTGGAACAACGTGACAACTGTAGAGGGGAAAATGTTACAGTGTGAATGTACACATCCTTGATGACGACTAACTTCAAACAACTCTGCATTAAATCACAAATAAAGTCTGAATTTATCCTGTCAGAAAATAAAGTCTGAAATCTGACTTTATTTTCTGACTGAGGATAAATCCATGTGTCACATGGTCCTGAGTCAGCTTTACTCTGAAGTCACCTGGTCTCTTTTTCAAAACCCAGATTTCTGACTTTTAAACATCTATTCTTACATTTCAGCTGCCTAGCTCAATGTAATTGTCTTAGTTTTGCAGTTTTGATTTATGATCTTTTCACGCCCCCCAAAACATATATCAAATCAACATCTCCTTTAATGAACGACCAGCGTTGGTGAGATTGGAAAAAGGCTTGAGATTTTATAAAAATATATAAAACACTTAATTCTTTAAGTGCTTTATGTTATGAACCTCTATGCTTTGCTACTGTTCTCAACCAGAACTCTCTTTAAAACAAATCTGAATCTTAACGGTTAAAAAGGAGTTAAAAATAAACTCCCTTTTTTCTGCCCAAATTCCAAGGACATTCTTTTAAAGCACTGCAGGCATTTCCATTGTGACGACCACTATAGGGTCTATTGTTCTGATTGGAGGAGAGGCAAACATGGCAGCACTCATGGGTGGCTGTGTCAGGAGGCAGGAGGAGGCCCATGATATTGACTGATGCTAATTTGTTTTGCGTCCATGCTCTGATGTGTGTCAATAGGAAGCGGAGGCCGAGGGATCGCTCAGATTACCTTCCACCGTTTGAACTGAGCCCCTCGTCCGGCTGCGGTCGGCGTTGACACCAGACCCTTGTCTAACTCTCCAAGACTGTCAAGCCTCATTATGTGTCAACGTCTGACCCTCACAGGACTGGGAATTAACCAGCGCTGACAGACGACTGTCACCACCACCAGCAGGCGCCGGAGGTCAGCGCCTTTAATGCAGTTCCAGGAGGGGAGGACTTTTACATTTAGCTGCAATCATTAATGTGGCATCATGAGAGATCTGTAACATGACTGAGGGACAAGGGAGGGGGCAGCAGCAGGAGGAGGGGGGGGGACTGCTGCAGAGAGAGGGTCAAAGCAGAGCCTGGAGAAGGAGCAGAAACAGATATTCAAGTGTGGCACATTGACCGGTTGAAAGATGGCTATCTGTTTGATTGATGGAGCGTGTCAGCGTTTTTCAAATATTGACATTTTTGAAAAATAGTGATGTTAGAAGTCGGATCTACCTGGGTGTACACGCAGCCCACACACGATCTAGGGAATACCGGGACAAAAACAAAAGATCCATCCACGCGTGGCGTGCAGGTCTAACGATTGCCCTTGCTTTATTGTTGAATGGTATGAAATCTGTCAAAGTACATGATCCATAATCATAAATCCAATGCAACTGCTGTGCAAATGGCCAGGGACATTACAGAGGAGCGCGGCGCAGGCCCGACAGTGTGACAATGAAGCAATACCTTGCTAATATGAGGACTCCTCGACAATAGCCTCCAGTATGTTCTGCAGCACTTCGCAGCTTCACTGAGCCAAGAGGCTTGGAGTCGGCACAATCCCAAACATCATGACAACAAGCCATCAGTCATCCTCCCCCCAAGCTGCTGCGCTCACTTGTGTGTTTCCGGAGTTCTTACTGTGGGAAATGAGCAGGGTTAAACATGAAACAGGAGGAAATGTTCATCACTGCAGCACATTCTCTAATATTCTCCCTCGTACGCCATTGTTTTCGCCGCAGGCAAAGAGAGAGGGAGTGGTATTTATTTTTTTATTTATATATTTTTGTATTTGCTTAAACATCCCCTGCTCGCTCACAGTGGAGATTTGTAATCTGCTGTGCATGATAATCACGGCTAATAGCAAAGAGAGCAAAAAGAAACGCTGCTAGAAAAATGAAAGTGTATTAATAAAGAACAAACTCCCCTTCAAGGCTCAGGAAGGATCAGATTTAGAGGAGGAAAACGTCAACAATGGAAATGTGGGAAGTGTATAGCAACACTTAACGTAACTTGTCCTTACATTAGTTAAAATACCTTAAAGCCGTCAGTTTCACACACACACACACACACAGTCATCGTCATATTTAACGTAGTCAAAAAGAAATCTCTAGAAACAGTTGAAGTCAAATCCTGACCTGAGTAAAATTCACAGCTCTATTACTGTATCTGCAGCCTGAGAAATGAGGCTTATCATCATTGGGACATTCGACACCCCCATCCCCCTTACACACACACACACACTCTCTTTCCTGCAGGTTTAATATGATATTGTGACACCATTCCATCTAATGAAAATATCCTGGTTGCCCTGTGTGAATTTTCTCCCTAAAATAGACTTCTACCTGCTCCGGGGCATTTAGCAGTAAAACATGAGTGTGTAATGAGTGAGGGGGTGTGGAATACCAACAGAAAGGTGACTCTGGTGTAATATAACTTTAATTTTTCACAGTTTTACATTCAGTTTTAGGGCGGTTCAGGGAAGAATATAAGACAAAAAAAGAATAGAGCAAGTCTGGTTTCAAATGTCACAGTCGACACTTCTGTAGACTGTTGGCTGGAACCCACGTGGATCTATTTGAGCTACTGTGGGCTCCAAGATCAGTGTGTATTTAAAGTGGCCTAACCATGAGGGCCACATTTAGATACCAGTTCGTCTTTATACACATACGGATAATTTGCTTGTGGCCTACATGAGGTATCGGGTCATATCCCTCTCTTTTTAGTCTCACATAGAAATCATGATTGGGATCCTGGGTTGGGACACTGGGATCTGCATCCCCTGGTGTGTAGCTATGTGGGCCAAAAAAAATCCATGTGCAGCCCATGTGATGCTGCCTGGGTGTGAAGGGAACTGTTACAGACTCCATCCTCATCCATAGAAATGGGACGCACAATGAATCAACAGTCAATACCAGGTGTGATTTATTGCAGGACTGTTGTCTCAGTTTGATCTAATGGGGTTGTACTCAATAAACTTGTAACATTTTTTTCTTTTGGCACACAGAATTTTTTTTATGACAGAACATAAAAAAAAAGACGTGTATTGATTGGATTGTATGTAATAAAGCCATTGGAAGTTAAATAATTCCGGAGTAATCGATGGCGGTCAACATGTGACATTTAACAAGGTTACTGTAGTGATTACAAGTTCATTCATTCCAGCCCGTGCTGCTCACAGCCACGGACCGAACACACGCCACAGCTCCCGCCACTCCATTGCCAACTTACCTTTTTACTGTCATACCATCCTTAACTGGAAAACATTTAAAATGTCATTGATCTTGATAATGCTGTGCCATAATGTGACACTAACAGTTGTACAAGATTCAGGAAGTCAAATTTCCAAGATTGATGAGTCGTAGCATTTGAGTTATAATCCATCTACCTGAGCGATGATCCGGCTCAGGTTCCACATGACGGAGCAGACAAATAAATAAAACCCATAAAGGTGACACAGGAAATTGATACTTAACAATCATCTTGAGCAACAAGCACCGAGGGGGAGTCTGGTGGGCAGCAGTTACTGCCGTGGAGGAGGAAGAAACGGGGGAGGTTAGTAGGACATTAAAAGGAACGACCTTCTAAAAGGCAGACATAAAACTTTAGAGTTTCAGCCAATGGGAGAACCAAGTACTGAAGATAACTGTTCCTGGGTATTATCTTATTACACAGCTAATTAAGTTCACAAACATTACAGAAATTAAGGGCGCGTGGTGCCAATACCATTCTTTACAACGCAATACAAGTACCATTACTTATATTTGTGTACTCACCGATATTTCTTCAGGTTGGATTTCAATAAATATGCAATGAGTATCTCTGTGGGAAACAGAGAGACGCATGAGAGAGTGTGTTGTTGTGAGTTCTGCCCAAATCACAGAGGACACCAGGCAGGAAGACACTTACAGAATTACAGTTTTATTTTCTTCTCATTAACAGCAAGGTATTTCAAATCAAAAGAACAAAAAATGACACCAAACGTCTTTAAATTATCTGTGTCAAAAGTTTTTGAACCGACAGTGACAAATGAATAACATTTATACAAACAATGTTGAAAAAAGGTCATCCAAATGTAACGGTGTACATAGTTCTTTTTGTCAAACTAAACACACATTGAGCGGCGCTTTAACGCCAACCTTGGAATTGAAATATTTCTTTTCTTGTAAACAATGTGTCACTTGAGCTGTGTAACCAGGTTTCAATAAACTAATTAAACGCACAAAGTTGATTAAATAACTCACAAAAAAGTGACTTTTAATCTACTGTGACGGTACACGGAAAACAGAAGACTCGAGGAAATCACTGTCCCCTATTAAAGTCTATCTTCTGAAACAGGAAGTGCTCTTTTGTAATCTGCACTCAACTGAACGATCAAACCGCCACTGTTGCCACGTACACGCGCGCGAACAGCATAACTTACACAAGGCAATTAGCGATAAAAGCCGTATTCGCTTATTAGTAGTTTTTGTCTTAAATACATTCGATATTAATTTAAATTAACATATATCTATATCCACAACAGTTTTCAATTCCAATCGCTTACCTGGAAACAGAAATACAGGTGGCATTAAATGTAACACAAGCTCATTTGGTCAACTGAAGAAGAAGACCCAATTAGGTGCCCTTCAAGTGCCTGTCCACATATGTCTACGACCAGATAAAACAAATAAAAATAACAAAATACGTATATACTGCATGTCTTATGGTCATAAAAAATAAAAAACAAATTCGCGCTATAATACATGGGCCACAGGTGAGCTCTCCATGGAAAACTACAAGTTTAAAGATTTCCCAGTTCTCTGGGGCTTACCTCTGATTAAAAGTTGTGTAAACATGACGTAAAAGGAACGTGCTCTAGCAAAATACACAGACGGGTTGACAGCTGGGTTTGTATTTTATTTCACAGCACATCAAGCATGAAACATGTGTCAGGTTGTGGTTTCAGAAAGGTGTGGTATAGATTTACTGTTAAATTAAAAACCCCTCCAGTTATGAGGAGGGTGGGGTCAAACTTTCATGTCATAAATTTACACTTCACTGTGAAAAGCTTGTCTTGCAAATTAATTAAGGTGAACTAATGGATGTTCAGTCAAATTAAAGGATTTAAAGGATTACAACTTTGGCATTGAGTTTCAAAAACCCTGCCAGCAGTTTAATCTCTTCAGCAAACACATATCAGATATGCCAGCAGTTTAATCTCTTCAGCAAACGCATATCAGGTATATGTGGTATTCATGCTATTTCTGTTGCAAATACAAAAACAATAAACCATGTTTTTATTTTTAAATGTGCCTTTCCGCATCTAAGAGTCATGATAACAGGAAGAAGAAACAACTTTTTTTGACTCCCAACAATTGAAGTGTCTAATTTGCTCATTGTAAACTTCAATGCCCTCAGAAATCCATCCATACAACAACATACCTGTGGCGTATTTTGTAGTCAGTAATAAATAACAGTTATCAGTTTTAACAGAAATATGATGCCAGTGAATTACCAAACTATAAATAAAGACATGACATGGATGTTTGTGCTTGCTGTGTTTTATCGCCCTTTCTAAGTGTGACAATCATTGGAATTAATTAGCGGTCGTTTTAGTGCACCTGCGGTTTGTAAAAACAAAAGATAAAGATCAAAACTAAACAACCAACAAGGAAACTGTTTTTAATTTTATCTGTGACATGTTTGCTGTAATGGTTAAATACCACTGGACAACACTAACTGTCATGGTGGTTTTCAGGCATCACCGGGGGAAGAAATTATTATTGGAAGAAATTTCAAGCACGTCTTTGTAAAGCACACGGCAGTTTCCTCTTCACAGCAGCTTAAGAGAAGTTGTTGATGCACAGAGCATTTTTCAATTCCATGCCTTAGAATTGCTTTCACAACAGCTGCAAATGGGACAGTGAGACATCAGTCAATGTAAAGGACAAGATGCAAAGGAAAAAAAAAATTTAATTAATGATGGACCGTAACAAAGTTGGTTTCATGGCACCACGGCCGCCATCATTTATCACATCAAAGATGCACTTTACACCTCCCGTGTTTCTGAAATAAAAGACAAAACATGTCAGGATTTAAGGATCTGCAGATTTCTCCCACTGAAGAACAGTAAAACAGAAAGGACAACTTCAGCTACTTGGTAGAAGAAATTTGAAGAAACTTGGTGTGTGAAGAAGGGACTAACCTTATGTCGAATGGAAGCAGACTGTTCACCCTTGCAGTGAGGCCCTGGGCTGGGGCTTTCCTTGACCCCTGGGGATCCCCCCCCCCGACCTCCACAACAAAATTACTGCACTCCAGTGTGTGGATCCTCTTGGCTTTCAGTGTCTGCAGGGAGAATGTGGCAAGAACCAGAGGTAAAGGTCCTATTGAGCCCCGGCACCATTAACACCATAAATCACAGAGTCCCATGCAAGAATCTCAGGAATCCACCAGCGTCTGGGTCTTCTTCCTCAATCTCTCCTCCCTGTGTTTAACCAAACATATGAAGAACAGGAATGTCTTCCTGCTCTTCCTCATTCTCTTCCTTGCCCTTTACTAAATTTCCCTTAAATTATCCCTCTGTCACCGCCTCTTTGACACAGACAAGGTGTGGAACCATCTTTATTTTATAGAACATCCCTGTGGAACCACGGTGGCTTTATGACTCCCCTGACATTCAAAAAAAACGGCTGCAAATGGTGTCAAATATTTACCAAATGACAGCCGATCCGAAGGCTGATTAGGTAATGAATTAGGAGGAGCGAGTCATCCGATCCTGGATCACATGAGGATTAACTTGTTCAGTGGCTCTCTGATTTCAAAGCTGTCAGCAGTGACACCCTGTTTACAGCACGCTGATGTAATACCTTCTGCACGGCCCAACGTTTCGCAGGAACGTAGATAACGTGAATCTAAAGTGTGTGAGGTTTTCCCCCTTCAGTTAAAAAAAACAAAAAACTTGCTGTCTATCTAACTGACGGTAAAACTGTAGAGACCCAAGAGAACCTGTGACCCACTTCTGTCAAAGAAATGCATAATGCCCCATGTGGGTAATTTAGCTTTGTGACTCAGAAATGAAATCTAGAAGAATAAGGAATAGAAAAAACAGTTTATGTGACATTAACTTAAATTCAGGAGTGGAGATGTGTCACAAATGTGCACACACGTGAAAAATCTCCTCATTGTTCTCACTGATAATATCTTGTCATTGATGAGAGAAGCCGGTTGATGAGTTGTTGCCTATTGGCTGCTGCAAGGGCTTTTTAACTCCACAGCTAACATGCCCCCCCCTCGAGAGGGAGGCCAGCCCCGACTTGCAGCTCCACAATTTGGCTGTTGAAAAGGCAGGGGTTGGGGAGGAGGAGGCAGGAGATCTTGTCATGGTGCCCAGTGGGTTCAGAGCTTGTGGTTGGAGTGCTGGAAAGACTGCCTTGTCTCTGTGATTAATGGTGGGGAACTTGGAGGCAGGAGCGAGGGAGCGGCTTATGTGGCAACACTGTGCAACCTGAATGAACAATATACAGATTTCAATGAATCTGAAGCCGTCCTTAAATTTAATTGCACAATCTCTCTCCATTTCTTCTGGGGGGCGGGGGGTGGGGGGTACACTAATCTTTTACAGTTTCTAAGTCATCAAAATACTGTGAAGATTACTGTAAAAACATTGCACCAGTGCTACAGTTTCCCCAAATGTGTTTATTAAGCATGAACAGTATCAAAAACTTGCCATATATTTTTAATGGCTCTAACAAAAATATAAAATTATTCAATATGAACATTTCACACAAATGACCAATATTTACAACGCACAGATAGAAAAGAGTCGAGACTAGTGTAACCTCGCAGAAATGAGACTTTTTCAGCTGTTAGGGAAAAACGGAAACCTCGGCCGTGAACATGCAAAGAACAGACAGGGAAGACAAAGAGTTAACTGGTAATTGCTTATGCATGCACTGTACAAAAGTGAAGACCTGTCAGTCACGTCCCCTGACATCACCGCTCTACTCTAATTAAAGGCACACTGTGTATGATTGGAGGGGGTGTGGGGTGTGGGGTAGAATTAGGATATTTAAAATTCATTTTGACAGCAAAAGAATACAGTGTTGTTACATCGATGCTCCGGGCCATCAGTCATCCAGAAAGTATGAATTGTTGCTTTCATTACCAGGACTAGAGCTGGACTAGACAGACTAAAAACTTGATGATGACTATGGGCTACTGCACGTTCTGCTGCGTGTTTGGACAGAAGCAGTAATAATAATATGACATTTGTGACGACAGTGTACAACTTCAACAGTAGATGGGACTATGTCCTACACAGTGCACCTTTAAGACATGTCCCTTCCAATTTAATCAACGTGTGAGTGATGGTAGGGAGTGTTTGGGGGGATTTCAGCGCTGTGATTCTAATTAGACACCATTCATTCTTTGAAGGCCCAGACACAGTGAAGGGATAATTGAGATTTTGATGAGCACAGGAAGGTCAGCCCTCACCAGGCCCTAGGGCCAGTTGGAAATACCCGCATGTTGGAGACTATCTGGGCCCATGCAGGAGGGCGGTGGAGCACCAGCACCTGATGGATACATACAGCTGAGGTCTGGAGGCTGAGTGTACTGACCACTGCTGTCGTCACTGGGTGAGGCAAAGACGGAGGAGGACATAGGAGCATAATCCATGAAGTGCAGGTTGGAAGAAGATGAGGTTCTGACAACACGTCCTCCTCCTCCCGCGAACCTCAGGTGGTCGGTGCAGGAGCTGGAGCTGCAGCTGGAGGACGAGTTACACTGGGAGTGCTGGGACACGTCCGGCACCTTTCCATATTTCTGCTCCTTCTTGTACCTTTTACAGTTTCTAAGTCATCAAAATACTGTGAAGATTACTGTAAAAACATTGCACCAGTGCTACAGTTTCCCCAAATGTGTTTATTAAGCATGAACAGTATCAAAAACTTGCCATATATTTTTAATGGCTCTAACAAAAATATAAAATTATTCAATATGAACATTTCACACAAATGACCAATATTTACAACGCACAGATAGAAAAGAGTCGAGACTAGTGTAACCTCGCAGAAATGAGACTTTTTCAGCTGTTAGGGAAAAACGGAAACCTCGGCCGTGAACATGCAAAGAACAGACAGGGAAGACAAAGAGTTAACTGGTAATTGCTTATGCATGCACTGTACAAAAGTGAAGACCTGTCAGTCACGTCCCCTGACATCACCGCTCTACTCTAATTAAAGGCACACTGTGTATGATTGGAGGGGGTGTGGGGTGTGGGGTAGAATTAGGATATTTAAAATTCATTTTGACAGCAAAAGAATACAGTGTTGTTACATCGATGCTCCGGGCCATCAGTCATCCAGAAAGTATGAATTGTTGCTTTCATTACCAGGACTAGAGCTGGACTAGACAGACTAAAAACTTGATGATGACTATGGGCTACTGCACGTTCTGCTGCGTGTTTGGACAGAAGCAGTAATAATAATATGACATTTGTGACGACAGTGTACAACTTCAACAGTAGATGGGACTATGTCCTACACAGTGCACCTTTAAGACATGTCCCTTCCAATTTAATCAACGTGTGAGTGATGGTAGGGAGTGTTTGGGGGGATTTCAGCGCTGTGATTCTAATTAGACACCATTCATTCTTTGAAGGCCCAGACACAGTGAAGGGATAATTGAGATTTTGATGAGCACAGGAAGGTCAGCCCTCACCAGGCCCTAGGGCCAGTTGGAAATACCCGCATGTTGGAGACTATCTGGGCCCATGCAGGAGGGCGGTGGAGCACCAGCACCTGATGGATACATACAGCTGAGGTCTGGAGGCTGAGTGTACTGACCACTGCTGTCGTCACTGGGTGAGGCAAAGACGGAGGAGGACATAGGAGCATAATCCATGAAGTGCAGGTTGGAAGAAGATGAGGTTCTGACAACACGTCCTCCTCCTCCCGCGAACCTCAGGTGGTCGGTGCAGGAGCTGGAGCTGCAGCTGGAGGACGAGTTACACTGGGAGTGCTGGGACACGTCCGGCACCTTTCCATATTTCTGCTCCTTCTTGTACCTCATCCTGCGGTTCTGGAACCAGATCTTGACCTGGCGGTCCGTCAGCTGCAGCCCCGCGGCCATCTCCAGGCGCCGAGGGCGACGCAGGTAAGGGCTGAAGTGGAACTCCTTCTCCAGCTCCAGCAGCTGGCTGCTGGTGAAGGCCGTCCTCTCTCTGCGCACACTTGGCCTTCCTCTGCCCGCGCCTCCATCACCACCAGCGCTCACTAATGCAAGAGGAAGCAGACAGAGAGGAGAGGGTGATAAAAGCAAGTGCCACAGAGCTGATAAGTGTCTGTCCTCTCTGATGTAAAAGCTCAGCTCACAGAGGACTTCAAGTGCCGGTGAGGGCCATGTTAATCTTCAGCAAATCAAGCCGAGACCGAGCGGTGCCCGCAGCTCTTCCTGCGTAGCCACTCATGCTTGAGACACTATACAAGACTGGTTGTCTACCGTGTCATGTGTTCAGGGAAAGTTACCTCCCGAAGAAACAGTCTGGGGGAAACATCTGACGCCACTACGGCTGCCTGACAGGCCACATTAATCACAGCTACACACGGAAGCAGACCTGTCAAATCCCCATCTCAGTCACTTAAAAGGTACCTTGGGACTACCACTGAGAATAACCACCATTAGAGATTCCATTTGACATGTATACCAGCCATAGCAGGGCCCTGTTAATAACAATACACCGTGCAGGGGTTAATGGGCACTTAATAAGGCCGAGAGTGGCCTTAGAGAGCAAACGGCTCTGCTTAACAACACTGCAGCAGACCTGCAGACTCTGCCTTCATTATCACAGCCTTGTTAGTCAGCACTCTCGACTCTGCCTTCATTATCACAGCCTTGTTTGTGGCTGTTAGTCAGCACTCTCTCCACTTCCCTGTGAATAGTTGAAGGCGTGATTAGTGAACAGGGTGTAGATTGTGATGTGTTGATTTGGATGTTAACAGTTTCCTTATTTTTTTTTTTCATCCTGTAAATTTATCTTCCTGGACAAACTGGAAAACAGTGTGACTAAATCAGTGGGTCCCAACCCAGAAGATGGTCACTGAGCTCTTTCGAGGAGGAACTTTTAATCTTTAAATTCAGACTTTTAATGGTAACGAAACATGCTATTAATATTGGAACCCAAATGAATTCATTTTTAATTCATCAAATGTTGTTGTGTATTAATATATACGTATATATATTGTTTTTTGAGATGGACGTGGTGACCAGATTCTTTTATTTTGTGGCCGTATGACTGAGAATTTAGAAGTTTGTTTGAATGCTTTAGAGTTTAACATGACGACTTCTGCTTAGCAAGAAAATAAAATATAATGTTATTTAATTATTAAAATAAACGTAATTGAGGAAAACACTGCTATTAAGTACATGCAATCAAAGCTCTTAAGCAGCTGTCAAATGAAGTAATACTTGACGAGAAAAAGTGGTAATAAAAGCAGATACTGCAGGTATGCAGTAGACTTTCAGAATTTGTGGCAAAGTTTGTATCCAGGATAAATAAATATAACAGAGATGGGGAGGCTGCTCTAGTTTAAAGGATACAGGAGCTCACGTGACTGTGCTGTTTGTGTGAAGTAGTTATCACCAAGGTTGTTGTGCAGCGAAAAGTTTGACTTTAGACAACGCACAAATGAGGACCATATTCACTCTGTGTGCTTTTGTGGATTCGCACCATCGACAAACGGTCAACAATATTTTGCACAGCAGTTTATGGCTGTACGAAAGTGAACGATTAGTGTGTAATAAATAAAGTCAGAGTTACCAGATTGCTCCGAGTCAGTTGTCCGTGAATTCATCCAGGGAAAAATTACTCCAGAGTGGCAGATGGTGAGTAGACTGCAGCCCCTGCTCTTGATGTCCAGCTTGCCCTTGGCATGGCAGTGAACCACAGGCTCCAGCGGCCTCTGAAACTGTTCATCCGGGCTCAACCTGGAACTGACATAAGCAGAGGAGGTCATGTTTTGCTGATTAAATTCTGCATCTTTGCCTCCTCTTCCTCCTCCTCCTCCTCCTCCTCTTCCCCTATTGTATCCTGCACATAGGTCTGGCACTTGTCCAGAGCCCATGGTGAAAGTGTTGCCATGCAGCTGCAGTGGGAGGGCGGACTGTTGGGGGTCCATGGACCCGGGCTCATCAAAAGTGTCTCAAATAAAGCAGCTCTCCCTCAGCAGCACTAAAGCTGGGGTTTGTGTCTGTCTTAATATCCGATCACAATTAACCTGAGCGTAAAAAGCCATGCAGGGGAGAGCACTTGAAGTAACCATGTGGAATATGTGAATAATATTTACCAGAGGGGTGCCGGAGTCACGTGTGCGCGTCCTCCAATGACAGAGCGCGGGAGTTGCAAAGTAATCCACCGGCAAGTTGTCGAGAAGCAAGAAGCTCCAGCGATGTTTCTTCAGACATGGTTAAAAAAAAATCAGCCCGTGTTTCTGTTTGTTCTGCATCTGCGGAGTAAAAAAAACGACATAAAAGATTTGAATAGATGAACATATTATTACAGGAAGGGAGAGCGGAGAAAGGAGAGGTGGAGGGGAGGTGCACAGGGTGGGGGAGAGATTACGTGTGAGGTGAGGGACGTCTCGATGAAGACGTTGATTTTTTTTTATTTTTATTGTAAATCTTTTCAAATCTATTACACGGATTAACTATTTGGGTTTGAATGCTGCGAATCCACTCCTTTCCAGAAATAGGTTTCAACCCAAAAATAAAAAAGGAGAAAAAAAAAAAGAAAAAAAAAACGGAAACGCGAGGACGTGTGTGTGCAGTCTGCCGTGTGTCTGAGCTGGGATCAGACAGCGGTAGTCACAGCCTCTCGACGTCACCTCATTATTTGTCCTTAAAACCTTCCAGATGTGAAACAACATATAAATAAACGTGAACTACACCACATTCTAACACCTTAACTAAAACAATATTTATTTATTTTTTCCACCCGCGCTGATGTGATGCCTGGTCTGATCACACACACAGTACAGACGACACAGACACAGGCGAGTTTCACGTGTATTTTATTATATTATTTTAACTTTAATAACCGGTTGCAAATCACTTAACAGGTCGTTAAAAAATCCGGCGGGCTTTTTTTCCCCTTTAAATAACAACATATGCCTTTAACTGTCGGCGGCGGAGGTGCGGCTCTAATAGGATGCGCTGGGAGTGGTCAGACAAAGGCTTTGACAGTCAATGCCACACAAAGACAAAGGAGGCAATCATTAGAGATTTTCCTTTCTGTGGGGACGATTCAACGAATTTGCATTAATCAGGCATCAGTGTACAGTATCGAGTGTCCTCACCCTTGTGTGTGTGTGTGTGTGTGTGTGTGTGGAGGCAACAGTCAAAACAGTGGATGGACATGTCTGACGGTAGACATGGACAAAGAGGAGGTGGAAGGAAGACTACAGGAGCCCGCGAGGGTCATATTAGGGCTGGCTGTGAATGAAGATGTTTATTATTAATATTAATATTAATCTTAATTTTGCTTCGCTGTTTGTTCGAATCACGTTATCACGTGTTAGTGTTAGTGTTCATAAAGTGGCTCCGCCGTGGCCTGCAGCTGAGGGGAAGTTTTAATAAACACAGTTGGTTCAATCTCATTAAAAATCACTGACGTGGCATCATGGGTAAAAAAAAAAAAAGAAAAAGAAATTCTCTCCGGGTTTTTAAATCAAATAAGTCAAACACTACCCACGGTGTCTTAACTAATGCAAACTCCAGTGTGACGTGGATCCATCAGCTGGACCACGAGCCTCGGATTTAAGTTCTTTCTCGTGTTTCGCTACAACAAAGCTGTCGAGAAAACCCTCTTTAAATGTCTCTCAGAGGTGATGGATTATGCACTCAGGGTTGCGCGAAGCTGGGCAGGAGAGGAGCCTTCCCCCCTTTTCTCTCTCTGTCTCACCCCTACTGCTGCTGCTGCTGCTGCTGCTGCTGCTCCACGACCCCCTGAGCCTCCACCTGAACTTCCACACACACACATTTCACCTCCTCCAACAGTTCAAGCCTGTATTAATATCACTGCACTGTGGAGCTCAGCTCATACATATCAATGCGCCAGATGCAGTTTCAATTACACGATGACTTTTCGGATGCTAATTGATTTTATTGTAATCCTTGATGATCATTTAATTTTAATCAGGGAGCTAATGACGGAGGTCCAGGTCCAGCCTGGCCATTAGGATGACTGCAGTCGATTTGGAGACACAGACTGGGCCGCGGACAGAGGGAAACGAATGGGAATGGGAGGATAATGACCTGCATCCATCCATCCATCCATCCATCCATCCATCCATCCCTCCACTCATGTTGTTGTTGTTATTATTATTATTGTTATAAACAGATGAACAGGGCAGCCAGCATCAGGACGCAGTGGAAACGGAGGGAAAAGTAATTAAATTCGTTTTGTTTTCCTTAGCTCACACCCTTGAACACACTCTCTGAATTGGAGATAGGATCTATGATATACTGGCTCAGCAAGACCATAATTTAGCTCCTCCGCGCCTCCACCACAATTCTCCGTGAACTCTGTTTGAACCGCCTCACTGGCAATAAATCATTTTTCTCTCTCTGCACAAAAGCGCGCCGGTCGCTCTGGGTGTCAAGCCTTTTACAATTCCTCCTTACCTTCTGCGCTCTCTCGCCTGCTGACACAAACAAGCCAGGAAATTGTCGATAAACTTTTTATTTTTCATACCAATAATTTCTGCCTGCAGAGAAAAAGTTGTTGAGGCAGTGAGAAGGAGGAGGAGGAGGAGGGAAAACATCTGCAGCTGCACACCACCGTTTTTTTTTCAGTTTTAGTTTTTTTTTTCCAAAAGAAACACATTTTGGTTCACTCACAAAAATCCAGCTTTTTTTTCGAAGGAGCCTAAACGAAAAGCAGGGATCATTCCATGTATTTCCAGGGGACAGAGAGGAGCAGATAAGAGGAGACAGAGAGGGAGAGAGAGACACAGAGGGAGAGGGAGAGAGAGAGAGAGCTGGGGAGAAGACGTTAATGGGCAGAGGATGCTGTCGGTTAAAACGGTGCATACAAATGGCGCTGTCTTGGCACAGCCAGGGGAAGATTTATGGGCCCGGTGCCCTATATTGCTGTAAACAATGCAGAGTGAAATGAAAAGAGTGGAGTTTGCAGACTGCACTTCATAAACGGGGGAAAAGACACACACTGTCAGTTTTCCCACCACTGCTGACTTTTGCAGGAGCTTCTGGGATGAGTTCAGTTCAGGGCCTGTGTATGTGTCCACACACACACACACACGTCCACTGTGGAACCCTGACATGTGCACAGTCAGAGCTGCAGCTCAGAGACAAAACTCTCAAAAGTATTTTTGTATTTGTGTTCATATTATTTCAATATATAGAATTTCATTTTATTTTTGTGAGTCTTTGGATTTCAGTCCAAAATTCTCCCACATAAAGAAAAAATGCAAAACAATATAAAGAGCTCTGTTACACACGTTTTGTAACATATACATATATATTGCATAAATATTTGGAGTCTTAGATTGTAGCTTGTGGATTATGTAGTAGATTATATACATACATGTAGTACATAAGATTTTGGTTATTTTTATATTTTATTTATATTGGTAAAATAATATCATTTTTTATCTTATTCTCAAATGAATATTTAATTACTAGAAGCATGTATTGTTTTTTTAAATATACTAAAAATAAATCTGTGTATATTTCCATCCAGAATGGATGTTCTCTCTCTGGAGGCCGCCATGTTGGATCAGCATGTTCCCATTAGTAAAAGCTAAAGAACTGAAGGCAAGAGGAAATCTTACAGTTTCACCAGCAGGTGATGCTATATTGTCTTCAGTGTACCCTTAACCGTTAGCTGTGTTAATATTTTTAAAGCAGTTATGTAGCAGTTTAGTATAATATATTTATATTGAGGACCAGAAATGACCTCCAGGTGGGTCAACTCAAGGCCCCTAGCCAAATATTTGACATCAGTGTTTAATGTTATTGTTTATGCAATATTGATTTAATCATTGTTGTTTTTTTCCCTTTGGAAGTGAATGTTTTTGCTGTTAGCATCAACTAGCATTTGAGTTTTTTTTATGTTATTTATCACTCCTTCCATCACTTTTTAATCCAATATTCCAGGGTTAAGGAACGCTTCTGCAGACAACTTAGCTCAGATGCTGCGGCAGGTGCACGTTAAGCCACTAGTGTCAAGGCAGATCCTTCAGAGAGCCATTGTTAAAGAAACAAATCCAATAAGAGATGCATTTTCACTTAACCAACACATGATTGTCCGTTCATAGCCTCCGCTAAGCTATAATCAGATCATTTTGGATAATGAAAAGTGAATAACATCATCATAAGTCAATCACGTGACCGGGCCTCCAGTGACACCTTCAAGGCAGCAAAAATGAGAGTCATTTTGAAGGTCCTCAACCATGCAGCAAATAGGCTGATGGAACATTCCTCATCACGGCCTTCTGACGTATGAGGAGACCATAGAAAATAAATAAAATAATAATTAAAAACCAAAGAGTTACAGCAGTGAGGTGAGATGACTAACCAGGTGCTCGTTATTCTGCATTTAATCTACAATCCTTGTTTAATTAAAACATCATATTTTTACACTTGTGAAGTACTCCATGGTGATTGGACAGATTCTGGCCTGACCAACCAGGAGGTGTATAGAATAATAAAGGGAGTCTATTCAATAAATTAATATATATTTATAAATATTTTATAAAAAACTAATCATCATTTTGATTTTCTGAAAACATCAGAATTCCAAAATGAAACAAAAAATGTTATTGTTTTGACTGAATGAATTATTAAAATATGTGTGACCTTTGGTGTTCTGTTTTAGTTCATTATATTATGGTATGGCTGCTTTGAACAAATCTGACCTTGGGAGACGTTTGACATCCACAGACAAGAGTGAGAGAATGTTTTTTAAAGGTACAGTATGTAGAAATGGGCGACATCTAGAGGGAAATGTTAATAATATAGAATTATTTATCCTTTTTTAAAGGTACAGTATGTAGAAATGAGCGACATCTAGAGGGAAATGTTCATATTATGTTTAAATAATATAGAATTATTTATCACTGCTGCAGCACAGAGGTAGAATTAAGATCATATATTTGTTTGGGTTGAAAACATGGTCATCCAACATGTTGGCTTCAATAAAGAAAAAGCTGCTCATGAAACCAATAAAACGAGGCTTATTCTGGGGTAAAAACAGATGTATAGTTTGTAGATGGTGTACATTCATAAAAACATTATAATAATCAGCTCATATTTCATATCTTTTCAATAGAAGGGAATTTAACAAGGCTACACCTAGAGATGATTCTCAGTAGTGCTTTAAAATATAGTTTTGGATACATCCGTTAAAGCCTAACTGAAACACACACACACACACACATGCACGCACGCACACGCACGCATATACAAAAGAAAGACATGGTGCATCTGCTCCCCAGAGTGAAGGGATGGGAGAGAGAGATTTACGGATTTACGACACACCCACTGCTGGACAATGCAGAGTTTGTGTGTGTGTGTGTGTGTGTGAACGCGCGCGCGCGCGTCTGTGTCTCTGTCCCTGGAAAATAGCAGCGTGACCCCTGTTTCAACTCTCAGCCTTTATGCAGCTGCCATGGCTGCCGTTTAAACACACTGCACACGGCTACACCGACAATACCCTGGGCCGGGCCACCTTTCAGTACGCACCTGAGAAAAGAGCAGAGCAAACAAATAAAAAAAGAGAAAGAAAAAAAGCCATGTTAAACACCTGAGCTGGTGACGTGGAGATGGAGCAGAGAGCAGCGTCACATCAGCTGATCAGCCCTGCCTCATATTCCCGCCACTGTCGGTGGAAACTTTTACTGTCTTCAGAGACAGAGAGTGAGCGAAAGACTGAGATAGGAAGAGGAAGAGGCAGGAGAGAGAGAGAGAGAGAGAGAGAGAGAGAAGGGGGAGAGAGAGAGGGAGTCCTCGCCCGAGGTGCTCGTAAATCACCGGCAGCCTGCAGCGGTGCAATGTGAGCTGAAAATCATGTGTGATTCAACAGTGTCAAGTCAGAGAAGAAACCAGTAAAAGCTGAGTAAGTGCTGAGGAATTTAAACACTCAACCTCCACCGCATAAAACACAAGCAACCGCTGCCATGAACGACAACTACTGTGTATGCTGTACAAGTACACACACACACTCACACACACACACACACACACACACACGGTCAGGTACAAGAGGAGGACTGGGATGGATGAATGAAGTGAATATAGTATATATTTATTTATTTAAAATATATATGCAGAAAATATACGAGGAAATATGAGAGCGTAGTTTCGATTAATTGCGATTAGTCGTGATTGGTCCACAGCTATACTGTGATTTATCAGATTTAGAATTGTAATAGTTGTAATATATATGCATGTATATATACATATATCGTATGTACAGTTGTAATATATATGCATGTATATATAGATATATCGTATGTATAAATATATGTATATATATATATATACATATATGAAGAGGGAGCAAAAGAAAAGAAAGAAATACCGTCTTAAGCCCCCTCGCCCCTATATTTGAGTGACTTCATCTGTTCGATTATTGGCTGTTTTTCATGAACACTCCAAACGTCATCAGGCAACAATCCCTCCAAAAGTATCAACATATAAACAAAGGAATATTTTAGAGCTCAAATATGTCGTAATCTAGGGATGAAGTACTCAGTTTAATGAAATTACATATTTTTAAGACCTATCATTTAACAGTGGGATTATCTCTGTGGGATTATTGACATCGAAATAATAAAACCTCACATGACTGAATAAACTTTAACCGTCATAAAATGAAACAAGTAATAAAAAAGTAACATTTAGACAAAATGAAAATAAAATCAAACGTGGTAAAATCCTTATTAGATAAAAATAAATCTAGTTTCTGGATGAACTATTTTAAAGGTGACGTGGTTGAATTCTCAAGACAGTCTCTTGAAAAAGAAAATATTACTGTTATAATAATTAAGGTTTTTTTTACAGCAGTTCCTCAGTGGAGACTGTTAAATTAGATTTCCATTTCTCCAAAATAAAAAACAGACAAACTTCATGTTATTTTTCTTCCTTTTCTGTGTTTTGTTTTTTATGACAACAGAAGGCAACCATATGTTCTCCTATAGGCTAGGGAAAGGAGATGGGGGAGGAGGGGGGTGAGGGGTGAGGAGCTGAGGTGATACTCACCCACAGCGTCTAACTCCAACAACAGACTCTACAGAGTTCCATTAAATTACTCGTAATTTTATATTTGATTTTTAATTGAGACAATTACAAAACAAACACAAAAAATCGAGTTCGATGTATCGTGTCCGTTAGCGGTGTGTATGTGTCACGTCTGTGTTCATACTGCTCAACTCATGCAGCCCATGTTGTACCTGTATGTGGCCCAGGTTGATCCATAAGTGACGTAGACAGATGTTGTGATTGGGTTGATCAAACAGTGGTGTCATAAATCTGTCTGACTGACCTCACAGTCTGCATAACATCCCTGAACAAACAGTAAGATGCAGAAAAAAGAATGTCTGAACAAATATGTGTTTCGAGCGCAGTCTGTAATTTATGGCTGCTGTGTGACGTGGGCTACTGTTTATACAATAATCTACAAACCTATTTTTTTTTTTGCGTCTATAATAATAATAAAAGAAAACCCAACACTGTTTCTGTATCTGTTTGGGTCAAGAACAAAAACGTATGTAAATTAAACATATTATATTATAAATATTTTTTTGTTTTGTTGATTCCTGCCCATGATCGAGCTGTAATCCTGTGAGCAGACACACACGAGCAGCAGGATGAGTGATCACGTACAAATGACAGACACCGAGATGAGTTGTTTGGCTCTCAGTGCCAACAGTTTATGTTGGAGGAGCTGCTGTCTAATATTTCTCCATCACTGCTGAAAACTCGCTCTAGGCCAAGGAGGAAAGAGGAGACTTGTTGCTTTGTGCATCGAAGAAAGGAATATTATAATAATTCACAAAGTAGCAGAAAGTGCAGGGGAGGAACACTTTGAGGTTTTCTTTTTTTTTTCTCCCCACAATCAAACCGTTCATTCAGTAACTGTAATGAAATCAAGTGCCGTTCAACACCGTTAGTGTAGATTTAACTGGATTTGTTCACGGGTGTTGTTGAAAAATAAGAAAAAAAATTAAAATAATGGATGAAAGTACAAAATAAGCAAAAAGAAAATCTGCAACAAAACAAAACAAACCAAATTAAACCACTAATAAACTAGGTTGTTTTTAGAATTTAAGATTCAGGAACAGTCAATAAAACGAACAGAAAGCACATTTTAAAAAAAGTTTGATGAGAAATTCATAAGAAGTACTTAGAAATTAAAGAAAATAAAGGAGCTGTATTTGAGAGTTTCGGTCTGACTGAAACAAGGAGCAAGATTTTTTTTTAAAGAAAAACAACTGCTAACAAAACCATTAAAGACAAGGAATTAAGATTAAAAATCTGACAAAGAAGAGAACAACAACTGGATGACCAGAATATGGAAACAACAACAACAACAGAAGAACCAAAATGTCTAGATTATACAACTATTACGTCACATGACGTCAAAACACTGCCTACGTCACATCACAAAAAGCCTCCAAAGGTATTAGTTTTTTTAGTACAGATAAAAACACCAACTTCAGAGGACCTTGGTGCAGAAGTTCCTGCAGAAAAGTTCTGACTCTCAGTTCGTCCACTAACTTCCTGGACTGTCCATTAACTAACGTCAGTGACCAGCTGTCCCAGTACTGTCAGCTCAGTTTTCAACAGGCCTGCTGCTGACCTCAGATCAGTATTCTCTTAAGTCTATTTTTTACCTCCCCTCGTTCGGAGACTCGGGGACTCGTTTCCTCCCCTTTGCCAATATTTCTTTTGTTTCCTCAGACACAGTCAGAAAATCAGATTCATAATCGTCAATCACCGGAGGATGTGTCGACCGCGCGTCCTCCTCCCGAGTCCGAGCATTAACTCCAGTAAAAGTTACCACACATCTCTGTCAGTGTCAGCTCGCAGCGCTCTGGAGTTGGGGCTTTTCTCTTTCCTGCGGTTTGACGATTGGTCAAGAGTATTTTCAGCGAAAACAGACCCAGAAGGTTCGCGGACGGAGCGTGAGCCGGGTCAGCGGTTTGGAGAGGTCGGGCATCCAGACTGGAATGAGCCTAATGGGACAGAAAATGTGTCCTCGGGCTGAACTCGGCCTTCTCCCACTTCGCCCCCAAACTTCAATAAAGTACCTTTTCAGCCTCGCGACATGGAGGCGACAGGGCCGAGAAAATGGGGCTGGAGGGATGCTGCGATTGAGGCGAGCACATTAATTTCTCTAATCTGTCCAGCAACATAAAGGCCCGGGATTCATTTTTCAGCGCCGCCTCAACACCATTCTAGTGGCTCCTTTCAAAAGACACGTTCAATATAAAGCCGTTCCTCGAACAGCTGGGGCCCAGTGGAACGGTGGATTTTAAAGTTCCAAGCTCGGTTCTGGACAGTGAAGAACCGCGGCCGTGTGCGTCACTGACGCGGCCTGTTGTAAATAATATTTTTTTTGAGGCGGGGGGGGGGTGCTCTGATCAAAAACAGGCTGCTGTCGGAGCTGTACGGTTCCAGGAGAGAAGACAAAGCTGAGTGCTGAGAGATTGATGATGGAGAACGTCTCTTCCCTTTGTGCCCCCTCGCCCCCCCACCACGGAAGGCATTTTATAAGGCCTATTCATGTCACCATTTCAATAATCTATCAAATCCGTGCGCGTCTTTTGGGTTTAACCCTGTGCATAAGAAAACGCTGCCCAGAAAAAAGAAAGAAAGAAAAAAAATCATTAGTGTGAGAAGATAAAGTCTTTAGGACGTCAACGTGAACATCAGAGATGTTCACAGTCCTGCAGCTCAACAGTAGCAGAAGAACAAGAAGAAGAAGAAAAAACAAAGTCCTGCGGTTGAGCTGTTGCTGGTTCCGGTACCAGACGAGAAACGGACGATGACGTCGCAGGGAGATGAGTTCAAGCGCTGTTTTTTGAAAACTCTACTCAACCGTTCATTACTACTACAGCTACTGCTGCTGCTGCTGCTGCTGCTGCTGCTGCTGCTGCTGCTGCTGCTGCACACTCTGGAGGCAAAACAGCTCACATAGGGGGAAGGAGGGTGTGTGTGTGTGTGTGTGTGGTGCACGTAAGAAAAAGTGTTTACACAAGCAAAAGTCCAACAGTGAACACAAGAAGAAAACACGAGCCGTGCTTTCTCACAGACAGGGAGGTGGCGGCCCTGCACAGGCACCAGCCTGAGAGGCTAAATAAAGGTCAGCTCTGGTAGTAGTTCCCTCGCATCTCCATCTTCACCCTCACCCTCACCCTCACCCACAACCACAACCATTAGACTCAATCTATCTGCGATTCAACACTTTATTTTTATTCATTTATTTCTGTTTTTTTTAAATTATTTTTGAATTTTTTACAATTGAAAACTCAGTGGCATGGCACACTGGATTATAGAAAAAACAGGGCAACTACGTTTAATAGGTTACAAAATGAAGAATAAGAATATTTTTTCACATCAACCTATGATCTCTAACACATTGCAAATGTCCTCTAAAATCAATAATATCGCATGCAGCTTTGTGTTCAAGTCAGGCCGGAGGAAGCTGCAGTGTGGGGTGGGGGGAGGGTGAGGGGGGGTGGATGGAGTGGGGGTGTGGAGTGGAGGGCCTCCGTCAGGAGCTTTAATTGAATGCCCTTCACACTGATGAGGTTGCACATAATGCAGAGCGAAAACTATTACATATTTCAGATTTGGGAAATAACTCGACGTCCATGATGAGTGAGGCTTTCACTGTATGGTTTTCTCATGAAAACACACACTTTTTTTCGCGCACGCCCACACACACACACACACACAAACAAACAATTCCTGTACACATTGCTAATTCAAAATGAGCTGCTGCAAGAATTTTTAATAAACACAGTTTGAAACCACAGTGATGTCTGTTTTTTTCCCTCCAGCTCCTAAAATATTGTCCAAATATTCTGTACACTTTTCCTGGATTTCTCGCTCCATCGCAGCCAAACAAAGGTCTGAGATCCTCATCTTTGCCTCCAAATGAAGCTCGACCAAACGTGTATAAAACTAGTAGACACTCACTGTTTTTTTATTGACCAATATGATTAGCACAAGAACACTAATAACTCCGTTTATTGCATTTCACAATAATCTGCTCGTTAACGGTCTATAACACAACATCAACACCACAGAACTAAAGTGTAAACCAAAAAAAAAAAAAAAAAAATTCCTGTCTCTGAAATACACGAGGTAATTTCACACATTCTTATCCTAAACATACAAGTTCAAGATCAATGGTGTGTTCCAGCCATTTTTTTATACCAAAAATAACTATTATTATATTGATTTCCTTCCAGTGTTGCTTGAAATAAATAGATTGTGCATTTCACCTTGGGCAGCAGGGCAAAAAGAATGGCCCACAATAACATTTTTTTTGTGATAAAATGTATATTTTTTCTACTTTTTTTTCTCCTTCATTCAAAACATTTTTTTTTAATAAAAAACATTTCAGTCGTACTTCAAATAAATTAAACCCTGTGTCACGTAAAAATAATCCATCGGTCGTCGCAGTAATCCATGCTATATAACATGCATTTTATATAACTTTGGACTTAAAGGAAACCGCACGATAGCTACCAAAACAAAATATATAATTGTTCTATAAATAAGCAGTTCTTTTTTTTTTTTTTTTCCTAACCACAGTGGTGGTTGCTGGGTTTATAACCTGGTAATATCCTCGCCATGCTGTGCTCCGCTCAGTTCGTCGGGGGCCCCAGTGTTAGTGGCCGAGGAAGCGGCGACAGCCCCGGCTGCTGAGCTTGTGTTGGACCCGGAGGACGAGGTGGAGGATCTGACTTTGGTGTTCGGCAGCCTGTGATCCTTTTTCCATTTCATCCTGCGGTTCTGAAACCAGATTTTTATCTGTCGCTCGGATAGAACCAGGGTGTGGGCGATCTCGATGCGCCTCCGCCGCGTCAAATAGCGGTTATAGTGGAATTCCTTCTCCAATTCTAAGACCTGCTGGCGGGTGTATGCTGTCCTAGACCGCTTGGGCTCCGTCCCATTGTAACCAGAGTTCACTGGAAAGAGGAGAAGTGCAGGGGAAAAAGGGAGACAGAGAAGGCAGCTGAGAGGAGGGGTAAACAAGAATGGCCTGAGATATGGCTGGAAAAGATTTATTGGATGGGAATGTTTGGCTCTTGGAGCTTGGAAATTTAAATGGGAAGTTGAGGAAATCTGCGCGTAATGAGAGGACACTCTCATCCAACTATCAGCTAAATTATTAATGTAAGATTACAAAGCTCAGATTTTTTCCCCTTCTTCTTCTTCTTATTCCTTTCTTCTTCCCCTCTCTCACTCTCTCCCCCTCTCTATCTATCTCACAATACATAACAGCAGAAGCCACATGGTGATACGGCTGCCCTGAGTATACCTCGGCTATAAAATTTATGGTGGGTGTAATTACCAACGCCGAGTCGTAAATCCGCCTCAATTGTGCCATTTCAAAGGCTTCCCTGCTATCGAAACAGGGGCTGGCAACGAGATGGGAGTCAGAGGGGCTGATAAAGGGAGGGAAAAAGGGAGTAGAGAGAGGAGCATGAGGAGTGCGGGGAACATAAACACACAAGTTTCCTACCAGTGCTGACGTGAATTTTCTTCATCCACGGGTACACCACCGGCTGCTTGGAGGAGGCTGTGCTGTTTGGATGCTCCGGGGTGGCTTGGTTGCAGGCGGAGGTTGCGGCCGGTGGGGTGGCGGGGGACATGGACAACTGTGGGGTTTCACATGAAGCTGGTTGCCCTTTTCCTGTCAGCAGGTGCGCAGAGTGGGGTATTCCATGTCCCCGTGGCGTGTCAGGTTCGGGGATGCTTGCACAGTTATATTGGCGCTCTTGGTAGCTCGCCCGCGGAGGGTATAACTCCTGGTGGTGATGCTGGTAGCCCGAGTCCCTCGCGCGGCTGTAATATTCTGGACTATGCTCAGGGATGTAGCTATTTTGCGAATATTCCTCGCATGGAGGAAATTTCGGATCAATGTAGTTAGACTCCATCAAATACGAGCTCATGATCATTAATTTCTGGAGTGGAAAATAATTTTTCTAGCTTTGTCGTTTTTCTGCTCCATAAAGCCCTCCTACTTGCGAGCAGCCCTGTAAAGTTACTTTTACCACGTGACTCACTGGCCCAATGGCAGAGGCAGAGGTAGTTCCCGGATAAGGAACCAGAGGTGTTTAGCATACCTACAGTCGCCATTGTTGGTACATTTCACTCATTCTCTCTCTCTCTCTCTCGCTCTCTCTCTCTCTCTCTCGTCTCTTTTTCTCTCTCTCCCCAACACAAACGCACAGTATCTCTCTTCCTCTCTCTCTCTCTCACACACCCCCACTCTCTCTCTCTCTCTCTCTCTCTAGTTGTGTTACCACAGCAATTGATCTTGGGGACAAAACTAGTAGCTAGTTGCTGACCAAGGGAAAAATAAAACAGGCAAGATCCGCTAGTCTCAATTATTCACAGGGACAATAGGTGATTCGCCAAGGATAAGGTGTAACAATAGCAGACCAATCATTTAGTATAAGTCTGCAGCCGCTTTATATAAAGGTTATCTGCTAAATTAATGAAGGCGGCGTCCGTCTGTACCTGCAGCTCCGTCGGCTGTGTGTGTGTGAAACACATTAAAGTCCATTCATGCACTGCCGTTTCCACGTGCATTTCCACTCTGCAGGTTTGTTGTGACCAAATGTCCGGGCTGTGGTGAAGGTGTGGAGGAGTTCTCCAAGACAGAGCCGGTGATTTATTACGTCAGAGAAAGGTGGACAGGGAGGGGGGGTCGGTGTGTCTGAATAAAAACCTCTTATCAAATATGCAAAAGTCGATTCGTCTGGTTGATTCATTAACTTACTAACTCCAAATATATATATATATACATATATATATATATATACATATATATATATACACACGTGAGTGTAAATATGAAGTACTTTTTTCTGAGAGGTTAATCTGTTATGTCACAGAAAGGTGGACAGTAAAGTCAGTCTGCCTCCATTAAAGACTCGTACCATTAATTCAACATTGATTCGTCTTGTTTTATGTTCTGATGGTGAAACAACGGTAAATAAAAAACCCCAGAGAAGATTCATGATGGTGAAACAACGGTAAATAAAAAAAAAACCCAGAGAAGATTCGACTTCTCATAATGCTGTGCTGTACAGAAGATAAATCTGACGACGTCTACAAACTGAACAGGTGCTTGTTAGCAAACAGTGGTGGCTAAAAATATTCAGAATTTTTCTCCTTAACTTTGGCTAAAAACATGATTCAAAAACCTTGACATTAATTGCATGTTGCAGTTTTATTGCACAATAAAAAGGGTTCAAAGGAAAAGAGTGAAGAAAACACAGCGTTCCCAAAATTGTACAGAAAACATATTGGGTTTGAAGGCTGAATGGAGTGCAGATCTGAGCCATCCATCCTGCAGACAGATCAAACTATTACAGCTCTGTGACTCTGCCAACAACACAGTGGTGAACGTGCAGGAAGAAACAACAACACAGCTGAGCTGAGAGAGGCTACATCTGATGTCACTGAACCAAAGCAGCGGGAATCAAACACCAGACCAGAGCGATGAGCCAAAGTAGTGACAGCACCAGACCACATCCACAGAACAGCACCACTGTGGTGTGACAGAGCAGCGCCATCATGGTGTCACATACCAGGGAGCAGCTAAACATTAGCTGCAGCTGCAGCTGCACGGCTGTCTCTGTGTGTCACAATCAAGTTAGGCTGCTTTTTAAACGAAGACTTCTGCACGGAGGCACCGGGTGAAGAATGCAAAACATGTCAACCCTGCTGCAGGAATTCTTGAACGCCATCAAGATTTTTTAGAGAAAACTTTTAAACTTTAAGCTGCAAACAATGCTGCAAATTACCTTTAAGATAAACTTAGTTTCAGGCAAAACAAAAGTACATGACGAATGGTTCTTACCTGACCTCTGACAACTGAGCAAAAGAAGAAAAAAATGTTAATGGTTATTTACAGTTGTTTACAACAGCCTGTGCATCTGTACTCCAAACAGAAGCAGCCATCTGGAGAGTCAGCCTCCACATGCTACATGCTAACGCTGGCAGAGGCCCAGCTCCAGTGTCACACTGTAATCTGACACGGCTCTGTTGTATAAACCTGTCATGAGCTGCGGGCTCGTCATTTTTATCCTGCGAGTCAAAGAGTAGGGTTTAACTCCGTGATGGCTGCAGCAGAGATGGGCCACAACCACCGTGTCTACATTCAGCCTCTCTCTTCAGCTGTGCTGGGACTCAACATCTCTGCACATCAGGAAATATAACGATAATAATCGTCCGCACCGAACCGCGTCTGCAGGTTAAAGGCGGAGTTTCCGTTTTTAATTGCCCAAAGCCATAATTTAAAATTAAAACCAAAACCAAAACAAAGACACAGGTGAAATGCATATTTCCGGTCGTGCTGTTTGTACAGAACGCGCACGACATTTCTATTACCTCTAGCGAAGATGTTAAAGGCGTTTTATAGAGCAATAAAAGCCGTAAATCAGTCACTTTTAAACGACCCCTGGTTCCTAACGTGTTTTACAGGGAGTGAGACAGAAGAAGCCGCCGAGTGCACACGTGGGTCTCCTCCCCGTGGCCCACCAACACGCTGGATTATGCATGTATTCTGTCAAGATGGGATTATATTTCTCCTGGTGTGTATCTAGTGTATATTTACACTGAACACAGACGTTTGGCTGTGTAAATGCAGCAGGCAGGGTGAGAGAGGGAGAGAGAGGGAGAGAGAGAGAGAGAGAGAGAGAGAGAGAGAGTCGGCCCTTGTTGTTGTCGTGGCATTTCAGTTGTCCATGTATTCCTGTAGAGACGTATTTGCGATTGTTTTGACGTCACACAAATTCGGTTCTACAGGGTACATATAGACAACTACGGTAGTTGGTGGTCTATCCAGGGCCCGGAACTCCACTGCCATCCACTGAAGACTAGTCACATTAAATAAGTGTAGATGCTAACTGTGCAGGTTACACGTGAATGAAGTATTTTTTTGATGTAATCTGACTGGGATTACTTTCTGTGTACTTCTCATATCCAGCTCTAACTTGCAGTAACTTTAAGGTACTTGTACAGGAATTTTTATTTTTAATTCTCACCACAGAGAGTTCCTACTACTAACTCAGTTGATCGATCGACTAACAAATAAAGTCAGAACTCCATTATGACCAGTGGAAGTAAGAGAACATTGAAAAAAAAAACCCCACCAAAAATCAAAAGACAAGTTCACACAATCACACCTCCATCCTAACTGACCCAGATCCTCAGAAGTAACGGTATTCCTCATCAGAACCAGGTTTCAGGGACTATTGAACAAACACAAAGTCACGTGTCCAGTGGTAGAAGTTGTTTTCACAGACATCACTGCACACAAACCAACAGAACTCTTGCTGACGACCTGAATGGACTTTATATATTATATATACTACAAATGTATTATCTGAGCACAATTATATCCATTTAAGTTCTGCAAACTAACTTGGCAGAACTTTGACTATAAAAGTAGTAAAAAAAAAACAAAAACTGAAAATGAGTGAACAACTTTGACTATAAAAGTAGTAAAAAAATAAAACTGAAAATGAGTGAAAATTTCTTGAAACAACTTCGTGCACACGCACCCGCAGACACGCACGTCGTGTGCAGAGGACAACAGCGTCTCTTTTCTCCACATTCAACCTCCAGCCTTTGACGTGGCTCCTATATGAATATGCTCTCACAAACATCGCGGACACAAAGGGACGGCGTGACAGCAGAGATGAAAAATCAGTTTCCATTGTTCCCCACCATTTCTTCTGCTCGCTATTACCATACTGACCGCTCCGTAACCTTTCTTCCTGCCACTCTGGAGGCTAATGAGAAAAGCCTCGGATGAAAAATGCAATATCAGACATGTGACCTGTTCCAGGGGGTTATTAAAAACAGCAAACATGCTCAGATAGTGAATCAATGGAATTGATTACAGTGGAGGAGCAGGCAGCCACTTCACACACTGTCCACACACATCTCAATCTGCATATGTCTGCTGCTGCTGCTGCTGCTGCTGCTGCTGCTGCTGCTGCAGTGAACAGACTTCTCTAATTCCACAACAACAGCGAGCCCGAACCACAGAGGCGCAGCGGAGACACAGAGCCCGAACTGAACCCGAACCAGGAGGGCCGTGCGTGTCCATCCGTGCGTGTTTGTCATCAACTGTAGGCTGATCTGAGTACAGCATGTTTGCCTGTGCACGGAGCCGTGCGCACGCACCGCACACTCCCTCTCGCCCCACGCGTTCTGGCTGCATGCATTTTAATATTACTTAGACAGCCTGACCCGCGTTTCACCCCGCGCGTTTGACTGCCTCCAATAGTTCACTGCCAAGGATTATTGATGGAGAGGCAGCGATGAATTCTTTCTGCCCACAAATGGCTTTCAGATCATGCACCTAGTTCAATAACTAGTTATAATGCACAAGTACAAAAAATGAGGCCCTCAGGCGAACTAATTTGATGTTTCATTTGTTCATTTTGAGAAATCGGTAAAAGCACCCCCCCCCCTCCACACACACACACACACACACACCCTCACCCTCACCTCCTCCTCCTCCTTTTTAACCCCACGCAAAATAACAGCGGTACAAGCGTGTTCACACATGTACGTATATGTAAACAGAATAAATCTGTAGCAAACTACGTGGAGGCGGTGGCTCTGTCCATGCACGGCTGTTTTTAATTTGGAGCAGCAGCAGCAGCAGCATCTGACGGAGCAGCATTATTCCTCTCCCTGATGAAACCGCTTAAGATGCGCTTTTAATCAAACCCTTAACCTAATAGCCTTCTACATTTCCACTCTCCCCAGGTGCAGTGATGTTAGAGGCTGGATGGTCCAGTTAAAAATACAAACAAGGAAAAAAACAAAAAAGTTTTAATGAAGTGCAGACAGTGAATGCCCTCTAAAAGCAGCAGCAGCAGCAGCAGCAGCAGCAGCAGCAGCAGCAGCAGCAGCAGAGGCTGGATGTCCCACAGAAACCATTGCTGGGTTTGCAGTTCATTAACAGCGATTGTGCTTCATTAGAGTCAAAGCTGCGGCTCTGGCTCGGACTCGGCTCCGTGAGTTAACTGGACCCAGAGACTGCAGAGAGCCTCAGCTGGGCTCTTGGTTTTAATTATTGAACAATTTCTGTTAGAATTACATCCATATCTAACTCTGTGCTCCTCGTCAATTCAACATTGTTATTTTCACCTACATCTGTGATGTCCACGCAGATGTTTGGGGTTTTCTTTTTTCAACTCACGCTCGAGTCATAGGTTTTTAAGTGGACATGCGGAAGTGGACACTTACTGATGAATCCACGACCCGAACCATGAACAGTGAGCCCGGAGAACCGTCTGGAAAATAAAGAAAAGAAGAAGAAAAGAAAATGCGATGATTATATTAAAAAGGTCCAAAAAAAAGGTCTATTTTATGATGGGACATTTTATGTTATATTTTCTATTTGATTTTATAAATAAACCTACACCACCAAACGCAACATACATCTATATGAAAAAGGCAAATTATAACAACGCGGAAAACTAAATAAATAAAATAAAATAATGAATTTAAATGAAATTATTAGAAAATTCAATAAACCGAAAAAAATCGTGAATTTAACGAGAACCGAAGTCCTGCGAATACATCGAATTAAACGCATTTATTCGTGTCACATTTACAGTAGTCGATCTGGTTTAATTTAATATTTTGTGTCGATATTTCCTCCTGTTTCTGTCTGTCCCTCTGACCTCCGCTGTCTCCTACAATTTTAGGAGACACTGTCCCAAAAATAATCACCGACGTGTCCGCTCTGCTGCAGCACTGGAGCCGAGAGCAGAAATTAAAGACTGTTCATTCTCAGCGACTGAAACGATATTTCCAACCATTTGGGCCTCTTTCTGTAGGAACATGTTCTAAGAACACAAACACCTGGGATTGGTCTGAATTATGGTTCGAGCTCTGAGTCTAAAGAAAGAAAGAAAGAAAAAAGAAACCACAGAATGACTTTGTCTTTTCACATCGTAAATTAGATCAATTCTGGCTGAATTTGAAAAAAATAATAAAACCTTGTAATGGCCTGTTATGGTTCTTATTTGTGGCTCAGACAAAGGGAAGTCTGCGCTCACCCGGAAATGACCTCTGCGGGTTGAATGATGACGGTGTCAGCGCCACAGGTCAGAGAAAGGGATACCAGCACAGAACGTGGCGGTGGAAGCGGATGTCGAGGCTTTTTACTCTCTTTCTACAGTCGTTTCTGACACCGTTCACAGCAGAAACCCAATGTTACTGTAACATGTGTTACAGTAACATTGGATTGAATTCATTCAAAACAAATTAAGACGCCAAATGAAGCCACTTAGCCTGGAAACCAAGGAACAAAAAAACAATTTCTTGATCTTGATTTCGTGGGAATTTCTTCCACTGACAACACCAGCTCCCAGAAACAATTAGAATCAAATAAATAAAATTAAGATTAAGAAGAAATATTAAGGCCATGGGAGGAACACAATGCCCCCCCTCCTCCTCAACCCCCCAAGCTTGTGCATCACCCACACAGCTGCGTGTTACACAGTGCCCTCTATCGGAGGTGTATAACGGATCTAAGCAAACAGAAACAGACCAAACACTGCGTGATGTGAACTGTGAATAATCAGTGTAAGCCTAACAGAAATGGTAAAATGCACACATGTAAACTAGCAGTGACGCACGACAGACAGTGACGCACACAGGAAGGAGCAGCGGTGCATAAACACCGGACCCTGGAGTGTGGAGAGTCACGATCTGGATTAAGAGTTGATTTTAGAAAATGAAAGAATGTAAAAAAAAAAAAAAAATCCTGAGTCTGATGTTGCATGAAAACAATTGCAGCCCAGTTAATTCCACTCCATCAGGGTCACACAGACTGGCAGCCAATTTTTAAACTATGTGAAAATATTTTAACTGTAATTTGTGTTTGCATTGATGTCACTGCTGCAGTGAAGCGTTTAGAAACAGAGGACAGGTGGATTATAATGGAATACAAAAAAAAAAAAAAAAAAAGAAATCCCAGCAATAACAACAACCAGAAAAAGCCAGCACTGATAATAATCAGATATTTTTGTTTGTACATTTTTTGCATTTATTTAATTTACATTTTTTTTGTGCCAAATTTAAGGTATATTTCAGCTTCTGATCAGACTGGACCACAGACCTGACCTCAAAACAACAGACAGTCAACAGTCACGACAGCAAACACAAACACTGTGTCAACATGAAACAATAACGACATGAAGAAAAACTCTTTGTGTATTAAATACACTTTAATTGATGCACATAATCTTTGTTGTTTTTTTTAACCATCAGACATAAAATAAAACACAATCATATTTTCGACACAGTTACATCGTCTCCAAATAAATCCCAGTCACTGCACTGGACTGGGGATTTAAAAATAAAAAATAATAAAAATTTAAATTCAAATGTGAAGAGAGGAGATAGAGAGACGATCGGTGAAGAGAACAGAGAGAGAGAGAGAGAGAGAGAGAGAGAGAGGGTGTGGTAAATGAGGAACATGTTCTTTTTTATAATCTTAAATTATTTTTTTTCCTCTTCATTTTTACTTCAATTATTTTCATTTTATTTTACTCTCCACAACAGGAAGCACGATAGATATAATATTAAAAAAAAATCCGTGTTTGAAAATGAAACATTAAGCTTTAAAATGTACAAACGACCATTTGAATGTGCTGCAAACATCACGATGACGGTGCGTGAAAACACAAGTGTGGCGACAACCTGTGACTGCGTCTCACACGCCTTATGTGCAAAGATTCAAAATTTTCTCTTCCACTAAAATATTCAGTAATTATTACAGATTAAAAAACGCATTCAAGCAACGATATTATCGTTAAATCCGCAGTTAATCGTTTTTTTTTTACAACCATGCAACCCCAGAGTCATAGTAATATAAATTTAAACAATATTACAGTCACGGTGAAATAGTCGCAGGCCCTGAAGGCAAAGTTATAAAGGCAACTTACTGCAGCAGCAGCAGCAGCAGCAGCAGCAGCAGCTCTGACTCCTTCACTGCTCTCCACCACAGTCCGGTGAAAGGTAGTGCGTCCTCACTGCCACAAAGCCCTTTCTTCCTCAGATAAGGGCAAGCCGGCAGCTGCGATTCCGGACAGTTAAGATTATATATGATGTGTATATATCGAAGGTTTGTCAGCTCTTCCAGGCCATAAAACCCACTTAAATGACACCACGTGCTTCCTATGCACCATTCACAGGCCCAGCTCGGGGCAATTGGCATATGTAACCTTGTAAACTTTAAAATACCCTTAAAGAAAGACATAGAAAAAGGGGGGAATTCAATGCGTCGTCCACGTATAGCTTATAGGGCCCTTTAACAGAGCGCAGGGAAAGTGGACGCAGCGCTGACCGGTGCTCGTGAGAGGAAGTTGAATAGGAAGCAATTAGTTTGAGAGGTGAGTTGATTATTTTTATTTTCTCTTAAGCAGTGTTATAGAGAGGCGGGAATTAGCTCATAACCTTGGGCTAGAGTGCGTCACAGGCAGCAGCGCTGCTGCTGCTGCTGCTGAACACAGACACAGACACAGACAGACACAGACACAGAGCCTGGGCTGTGGTTTTATGTTCTCTGTATACGAGCAGACGATGTTGTTTTAACTACACTGTAATGACGGCAGGATTAAAGAGCAGGGCCACGTCATAAATTGACCATATGGCCCCCAACCACGGTGGCGCGTTAGAGTGCGGCCGCAGGAAACCAAAGTTTTGCATTCACGTTGTCTTGTGGTGGACTTTTATCACAGCCCACTGTCTGTGTGTGTCTCTGTGTGTATGTGTATATGTGTGTGTGGGTCTTCCTTTCCCTGACAAAACAGGAAGCAGAGTCTGGCTGTGGTGCTGGTGTGGTGGAAAAGGAGGCAATAAACTTTTATGGGGGCCCTTAAACTTCAGAGCGCGTTTGTGAGTCAATGAAATTCTGTGGATTCTGGGTCAGAGTAGAGAAAGTGTATAGGCAGGAAAAGTTAAAAAAACAAAAAACAAAACAAAAAAAATTACACAATTTTATAATAGTTTAAATCGAACTAGGAATGAATTGAAGGACTCCGGATGTCACTATTTCCTGTCTTTAACTAAAACAACTACAAGGGGAATAGACGTCTATGCTTTTAGCTGTTTTATATATATATATATAAATACATATATATATATATGTATGTATGTATGTATTTTTGTTTTTAGTTTATTTGTTACAATCAACAAACTGGGAAAAACTCATTCAAAGCCGTGTGTAAACCAGACAGAGAGAAACCGTATGTATGTATTATCATCACAGTATTAATATTATTATTATTATTTTTTCCCATCCATACAGTCGCTAAACGGTGTAGATTCACAGAAAAATGACAGAAAAAGAAACAACATGGAGCGAAGTCCGCACTGCACGAGAATTATTAGAGAAAGAAATGAGATAAAAGTCTAAACCTTTTCTGGTTGGAAACCGGTTGAACTTAACGGGAGGAATCATTTCATCATCATCATCATCATCATCATCATCATCATCATCATCAGAACAATATCTTCATTTATTTTCATCTCTTGAATATTTCTAAATGACCAGCTACAGTTGAATCTACAGTTAGTGATGACGTAGTCACGGCGTCCACTCCACTAGTCCTAACTAAACTAACATGAACTATTAGAGGTACGGGTTGTGCAAGGATTCGACCGCAGGACCAGGACCAGGACCATACAGCCCTCACCCCCATTCTACCTTCTCCTCTTTCTCCCCCTTTTCTCTCCCCCATCCTCGTGTCCCCTTCGTGCAGTCAAGTGAGGTTATCATCGCATGGGCAGCAAATTAATTTAAAAATGTAAACCGATTGATCAAAGTGAGCGATATTCGATACATTAGCTCCCAAACTGCAGAGAGTGACACATAATTGGTGATAAAGCACACAGAGCGGTGTCATGATGTCACTGCTGCTCGCGGTTCATCCGGAGGTCAGGCGGCACTCCAGTGTGTGTGTGTGTGTGTTCACCGTGCAGTCAGGGGGCTAGCAGCCGTCTCCAGGTTCACTCAGGGAACACTCTTACTCCTTCACTTTGATCTTTGAGTCCTTCTTCCACTTCATCCGTCTGTTCTGGAACCAGATTTTGATCTGCCTCTCGTTTAGACACAGGGTGTGGGCGATCTCTATGCGCCTGCGGCGGCTCAGGTACCGGTTGAAGTGAAACTCTTTCTCCAGCTCCAGAGTCTGGTAGCGGGTGTAACTGGTCCTGGACCGCTTACCCTCCGATTCTGAAGTGGTATTAAAATGAGTTAGCAGAATGGTAGAGTGGAAAAGAAGGAAAAGAAAGAAAAAAATAAAATAGAATAACAGGATAATAAAAATATTATTACCCCCCAAAAAGACGTTCGTCTGGCCATAAAAGCGCGCGTTACAAGCGGAGAAATGTGAATTTATGAGGCTTTTCACCCTCATTGAATAGATCAAATCTCTTTATATAACCTAATTTAACCCGATATTACTTAGTGTGGATACGTGTAATAAAAATGGATGTGAGCAGATAGGGATGGTTAACTAGATCTAATAAATATACTCGGCTTAAAGGAGGCACCTCCACATCATTTTACATTAAAATACATAAAAAACAGACACCGTGTCTGCGTGTACTGTGTAAAACGAGACATCTGAATGGTGTGTTAGACTCTGCAAACACTGGTCTCGGCCTCGACCGCTGCACAGGACTTGGACAATTACGAGGGAGGAGGAAAAAAAAACAGATGTGGAAATGAGGAGAAGTTGGATCAGAAATGGAAACTGATATTTCCCAGATATTATTTTTTGTCTATTTATAGACTCGGCTCGTGCATGTGCAGGCGTGCTGAGTGAAGCAGCAGGCCTGTGATCTT